TAAAATTGCGATTTGACTTGTCCCGGAGTAACCCTTTCGCACGAAATGAGGGTCGATCGGCAAAAACTGAGGTAAAATGGCGATTTGACTTGTCCCGGAGCAACCCTTTCGCACGAAATGAGGGTCGATCGGCAAAAACTGAGGTAAAATTGCGATTTGACTTGTGCCGGAGCAACCCTTTCGCACAAAATGAGGGTCGATCGGCAAAAACTGAGGTAAAATTGCGATTTGACTTGCCCCGGAGCAACCCTTTTCGCACGAAATGAGGGTCGATCGGCAAAGTGTAAAAAGCGTCTGTGTGTAAAGCGTTGGGTAAAAGCGTTTCTCTGTGTGTCAAAGCGTCTGTGTGTAAAAGTGTTTGTGTAAAAGCGTTTGTGTGTAAAAGCCTCTGTGTGTAAATGTGTTTGTGTGTCAAAGCGTCTGTGTGTAAAAAGCGTTTGTGTGTAAAAAGCGTCTGTGTGTAAAAGCGTCTGTGTGTAAATGTGTTTGTGTGTCAAAGCGTCTGTGTGTAAAAAGTGTCTGTGTGTCAAAAGCGTCTGTGTGTAAAAGTGTCTGTGTGTAAAGGCGTCTGTGTGTAAAAGGGTCAGTGTGTAAAAGCGTCTGTGTGTCAAAGCGTTTGTGTGTAAAAGCGTCTGTGTGTAAAAGTGTTTGTATGTAAAAGCTTCTGTGTGTAAAAGCTTCTGTATGTAAAAGCTTCTGTGTGTAAAAGCTTCTGTGGGTAAAAGCTTTGTGTGTAAAAGCGTCAGTGTAAAAGCGTCTGTTTGTAAAAGTGTTTGCGATGCAAACTATTGTTTTGCACTTCTCACTATCCTGTCTTGATACTCCTCTTCTCGACTGCCTATAACAGAGCTTTCATATATCGTTTCTAATATTGCGTCTCCATACTAACAAGAGAAGACCCTGCTCCTCTACGCTCTCGGGCCATCCGTCGTCTAGTTGCACGTAGGTTTAGAGCAGTGTGAAGTGTGGGGCGTGAAGAGTGCAGTGTGAAGTGTGCAGTGTGAAGGAAGCAGTGGGAAGTGAGAAGTGTGAAGTGTGGAGTGTGAAGTTTAAGTGTGGAGTGCGAAGAGCGCAGTGTGAAGTGTGAAGTGTGAAGTGTGAGGTTTGGAGTGTGAAGGAAGCAGTGAGAAGTGTGAAGTGTGAAGTGTGCAGTGTGAAGTGTGAAGTGTGAGGTTTGGAGTGTGAAGGAAGCAGTGAGAAGTGTGGACTGTGAAGTGTGAGTGAAGTGTGGAGTGTGAAGTGCGAAGTGAGAAGTGTGAAGTGTGAAGTTTGGAGTGTGAAGTTTGGAGTGGGAAGGAAGCAGTGAGAAGTGAGAAGTGTGAAGTGTGGACTGTGAAGTGTGGAGTGTGAAGTGCGAAGTGAGAAGTGTGAAGGAAGCAGTGAGAAGTGAGAAGTATGAAGTGAGAAGTGTGAAGTGTGGACTGTGAAGTGTGGAGTGTGAAGTGCGAAGTGTGAAATGTGAAGTGTGAAGTTTGGAGTGTGAAGGAAGCAGTGAGAAGTGAGAAGTGTGAAATGTGGAGTGTGAAGTGTGAAGCGTGAAGTGCGAAGTGAGAAGTGTGGACTGTGAAGTGTGAAGTGTGAAGTGTGGACTGTGAAGTGTGAAGTGTGAAGTGTGGACTGTGAAGTGTGAAGTGTGCAGTGTGAAGTGTGAAGTGTGAGGTTTGGAGTGTGAAGGAAGCAGTGAGAAGTGAGAAGTGTGGAGTGTGAAGTGTGGAGTGTGAAGTTTGAAGTTTGGAGTGCGAGAGTGCAGTGTGCAGTGTGAGGTGTGGAGTGTCGAGGGAAGGACACGGTCGGGACAGGTTGTCTTTGAACTATAGGTCATTTATGTTTGGGAAACTTCCGCCGCCGGCTTGCCCGGGTCTATGTTACAGACACCAAACATAGATATGTCATGATATGTAAACATATGTAAACATAGCTTCATTGCACAGCAATCCGTTGGCCAATGGCGACGGCTGTGATCTTTTGGAAGGTAACAGCTGTGCCGGTGCTGGTGCTGATGGCGGAGGCGACCATCCAAAGTGTGCCCCTGGTGCTGCAAAGACTGAAAGGACTTAAAGACAATTGACGCAAAATAAAATACACACATACTGAAATACGAAATTAATTAAATCCCAAAATATAATACACTATATATATATAAATATAAATAATATATATATAATATGTATGTATACGTACATACGATATTAGGGTACGAGCAACTGACCCGAATACATTGAAGCTCTTCTGAAGGTGCGATGTGGAGCGTGGCGGCGTGACCATGGCATCTAAGGCATCGCATTGGACCATGGACAAGTCAAGCTCCTTGGCATCAAGTTTTGCCGAAGAGTTTCAGCTCCTGAGTGTATGTGGTGTGTGAATTTTGGTACGGTGTGGAAAGCATTATATAATTGTTTGATATTGTTTGCATGTTTTTTCTTTGTTGAAGGTGAAAGAAGGTGAAAAATGTCCAAGAGACAGTCAGAACTTGCAATCAGTAGACCCGAAAAAAGAGAAAAAGTGAACAATTGTTCTCTTGCACCACGCTTGACCAAGCGTCGAGTTCATTGTAAAATTTGTCGAATCGGATTGGTGCCCCACGGCTCCAGATCTTGGCCGTTGCCACTGCAGCTGCGCAGCGTGGCGATGCCTTGCTGTGGCTGAGCAATCCGTGCCGAGCTGAACATCAACGCAACGCCATTTCTGTTGAGCAAAGTTGAGCACAGTTGAGCACAGTTGAGCCGTTGAGCACACAATATTCAATGTACATATACGATCATATACGTACATAACTTACTTTGTGTGCGTGTGTAGCTTAGTAGCTTCATTCTTTTGTGGTCCTTTTTGGCAAGGATTGTGTCTGGGAAGATATTGCTGGTCATTGGCTCGCATGCGCTTTGACATGGCTGTAGGTCACTACCCATGGTCCTGACTTGTCGATTGCGACGGTTTAACAGTCAAGTTTGGTTCATTTTGAAGGGACTGAACTGAGTACTTGATAGACTAGGTACGTGAATTGAGCAAATGCTGCAGGCTCACTGCAATAGGCTCCAGGCCTTTGATTGCGCAATTTTTCAGCACATTTTTGATCAAACCATCTCTCGCCAAAGCCAATTTCTTCCAGCGTCCACCATGAGCTTCTTCACTCAGATCACAGATGCCCTGAACTTGTGCTCTGGGGAGGGTGACGTTGTGCGAAAGGTTCGTACGACTGCAGACCCACCTATGGCACCTGAGGATGCCCTGGAGCTGTTGAAGGAGGGCAACAGTCGATTCGTGGCAGGACGACCCTTGGGTTCCAAGACTCAAAACGTCCAACGGCACCAATTGGTGGATGAAGGCCAGGCACCCCACACCGCCATCATCGGTTGCGCCGATTCGCGCGCGCCCCTCGAGACTATCTTTGATGCTATGCCAGGTGACATCTTTGTGCTGCGCAATGCCGGCAACACTTGTAGTTTGGCTTGCAGCTGATAACCTGATAAGAGTGACATTGCATGATTCTTGTTCATTTGCACCAACTAGGAATAATAGCTGCATCGATGTGGAAACTTTGCATGAAAATTGGCCAAGCAGTGACCAAGCGAGGTACCCACGCAGAGGGTAGCATGATTGGTTCGCTGGAATTCTGCACCGGCAAGCTGGGGAGCCGCCTGATTTTGGTGCTGGGCCATACCAAATGCGGAGCCATCTACGGCGCAACCAAGACCTTCTTGGATGCCCAGCAGGCACAGGAGCAGCCGAAAAAGGCCGGCTCTGCTTTGGAGGGTCTGCTGAAAGACCTTGGCACTGTGGCCCAACAAGCAGCAGAAGAGAAAGGACCTGGTGCAAGCTCGGATGAAGTGGCAGCACATGCCGTCAAGGTGAACGTCTTCCACAGCATGAATTTCTTGTTGAAGTTTAGTGACAGCATCCGAGAGGCTGTCAAGTCTGGACAGGTGCAGCTCCAGGGTGGGATCTACCATCTGGAGACGGGAAAGGTTGAATTCCTTGGAAAGTCTCCTGCCCAAAGAGAACTGCTCGACAGTACCACATCCATTCCTCCTTCCATGACTGCCATGGTGAAAGAAAGTCGTGGACTCCATGGTGTGCGCACCGCTGCTGACGAGCGCGTTCCATCGGATGCGGCTTTGAAGATGTTGAAGGAGCATTCTGAGGGAAATTCGGGCAATTTTGGGTGAACAGTTATCAATCCAGAAGTTGGTATGTGAATATCCCAATGTAATCGTTACATATTTGCAGTTGGTTGCGAAGAAGGTGCGTATGAAGACTGCAATAGGCGTTGTTTGAATCTTCCTCCGTTTTATTGTCAGTACAGTCTTAGTATAATATAGTCTAGTATAATTAGTGTATCACCAAAGGATTCGATCTTAGTTTCTCCGAGTTTCTCCTGAACCACCTTATCGATTTCTCTCATTCGGTGCACAAAGAGTCTTTGGACAAACATATCCATATTTATCCTGGAAAATTCCGAACATACTGATTGATCTATCCTGTTTGTTCTGGAACCTTCAATGTACGTCGGAGACCAAACACCACTCCTTGGGTTACAGTAACCTATGATGAAGGCCTCACCAGAAAGTAGATGATGTGAGGCCTCCTCAGTTTTGTCAGCCATGGCTACTTTTTCTACATCCAAACAGTGCCATTGCTGTGGCTGTGGCCATAACTTAATAACCCTGCGGGATCAAAATCATTTAAGATCCACTGAGTCGACAGGCCGGCAACGAGCGTTTCGCCACCGGTGCGGTGACGGCCGGCACCACCTCCAGCGAGATGAGGAAGGCCCTGGTGAAGTACAACCAAGCGCCTCACAGTGCCATCATCGGATGCGCCGATTCACGTGTCCCGGTGGACACCGTCTTCGATGCCACGCCCGGAGAGTTGTTTGTGTTGAGAAACGCGGGCAACACTTGTAGCTGGGTCGTGCTTTTCAGGGTATGCTTGTTTTGAAGCTGGCTGTGACTTTTTGAGTTTGTTTTTTCGGCTTTTCCCTTGCCAAAAAGTGATCAAACAGGTACCCACGCAGAGGGTAGCATGGTTGGTTCGCTGGAATTCTGCACCGGCAAGCTGGGGAGCCGCCTGATTTTGGTGCTGGGCCACACCCAGTGCGGTGCCATTGCTGGTGCGACTGCGACCCACCAAGCTGGTGGCGAGGTGAAGGCCCCGGCCTGTGCGCTGGAAGGCCTGCTACAGGGCCTGGCCAATGTGGCCAAGGAAGCGAGTGAGGACTTGGGCCCAGGAGTGTCCCAAGAGAAGTTGGTGAGCCATGCCGTGAAGGTGAACGTCTTCAACAGCATGAATTTCCTGTTGCAGTTTAGCGAACCCCTTCGTGAGTTGGTGCGCAAGGGTGAGCTGGACATCCAGGGTGGCATCTACCACCTGGAGACCGGTCGAGTGGAGTTTCTGGGTCGTTCTCCCCGACAAGACGAGCTGCTTTCCTCCAAGGTGACCCTTCCACCCTCCATGGCCATCGGTGCATTCCGCACCACTGAGGATGGAATCTTGGAACCCAAGGTGCTGATTTAAAAAAAAATCCAATGTTCTGTGATGCCTACTAGAGATGTAATTTGCAATTTTTGCCTATCTTTGAAACATGTTCCAATACTGCAAATGGTTGCAGTGTTTTTTGATGATACTTTGATGATTTGTTGACGGAATCACGATCCAGGGGTCTTTTCTTCTTTTCCTATTCTTCCTTGACTCCCAATATCTTCCCCATCTTCCACTAATTTCGAGCCTTTTCCTATTTTTTCCAGGTGGCTTTGAAGATGCTGAAGGATGGCAATCAGCGTTTCGTCTCCGGTGTCCCAGTTCTTGGAAAGGTTGACCGCCACGTGCGCGAAGCACTGGCCACGAAGGGCCAGGCGCCCCATACCGCTGTGGTGGGCTGTGCCGATTCGCGTGTGCCACTGGAAACGGTCTTTGATGCCTTGCCAGGAGACCTTTTTTGTCTTCGCAATGCTGGCAACACCTGTATCTTGGCTGCTGCTTTCAGGTTTTTCTTGTGACACGGTGTGACTTCTTACGATTTGCCCAAAGTCTTTGAGATGGACTCGGACACATCAATTAACATCAATCATCATCAATCAACATTAAGGATTTGGCCCAAAAAAGAAACCCAAGAGGTACTCATGCTGAAGGCTCCATCCTTGGCAGCTTGGAATTCTGCACTGGGGCTCTGAACACTCGGCTGATCTTTGTCTTGGGCCACACCGCCTGCGGAGCTCTCAAGGGAGCGACTGCGGCTTACCTTTCGCAGGGAGAGAAGAAAGCCAATCACGCCCTGGACGTGTTGCTGAACGAGTTGGGCACCGTGGTGTCTGAGGCTCAGAGTCAATGTGGCAAGAAGGCCACCGCCGATGAGATCGCCAACAAGGCAGCCCTTGGATTGTCCCCCGGGTTCCCTGGGGTTGTCGGGAGCAGTTGGAGTGCAAAAGATGTTGGAGTTAGATGGAAGGTAGCTGCCTGCAAGATCTTGCCAGATTGTAATATTAATATACGTATTGTAATCAATCCTTGTTCTGGGTGTTTTCTCGTTCACATTTGTTGCAGCATGTTCTTGCAGTGATAAAGCCATCTGTGATATGGTGATATATGGGGCATATTGATTGAATCATTCTGGATCTCATGTTGGATCTCATGGACGAGGCCATCAGGCTGAACGTCTTCCACACCATGAATTTCATGTTGAAGCACTGCGAAGCCATCCGCGAGAAGGTGCGCAGTGGCCACTTGGAGATCCAGGGCGGCATCTACGATTTGAGCACTGGGAAGGTGGAGTTCCTGGGACGAAGTCCACAGGAGGCGAAGTTGGTCAAGGGCAGCGGCAGCGTGGCACCCTCTCTGAAGCAGAAGATTGGTGGAGCCTAGGCGACCCGATCTTAGGCGAGAAAGGTTGGTCCTGTGGCTCTCAAGAAGCAGAAGGACTTAAAATTCAGACTGCACAAAAAGCCTGCAGTTCCATTGCATTTTTTTCTTCCATTTTGATACATCTTTTTCACCCTCACCTTGTTCTTAAGTGACGTTGAGGATCTAGTGTAGTGTAAAGAGTACAGAAGGCAATTCAAATTGCCTACCGCTAGGGGTGGTAGCGGAAAGACGCTACATATCTCTTTAGCGAATGGAGAGCCGTACTGTGAGAGCTTCATGCTCCACTGGTATCTTCATAGACTCTTCTTGAGCGACGTTCACAGAGACATGAAAAGACAGATGCAACTGCGGTCAACTGCGGGTGCGATTGACATTTGTGCGGGATATTTCCGGAGTACTGTGCCAGCCCGAGTCTTTTGATTCTCCCTGTACCTTTCGATTGAACACTGAGAATTGGAGCATCACAAAGCAGAACCTTTTCTCACATACTCGTAGAGAGTTTGCATCGGCAAGTCCAAAACAGACAAAGGCCAGACTGGGGAAGGCTTCCTGCAGGCGTGAGTGCTTGGGGGCCATTGACCACTTCATTACTTCATTTGTCATCCCACTTTCAGTCATGGCCGACTACCGTGGAGTATCTTTCTGTACAAACAGTCTATCACACATGTTGAAAACTGGAACACTTTTCCAACTAGTCCAAAAGATTGCTCTGGCCATTGCAGATTCCTGGTAGGTAAGGAGCGGATGTGATCATTGCAATTTGACCACGACAGCAGGTCGCAGGTCCCAGGTCCCAGATGGGTTTGAAGACCACGAGCACTTTGGAACTAACCTACAATTATCTACAATTTAAGCGCTTTCACTGGATTGATGCACCGCTATGACTAGAGATGTGATGGTGTGCCCCTGCAGGGTATGCTGGCTGCCGTGGCTATATGCTGTCACCGAGCTTTCTCCACCGGCTGAAGACTCTCTTGCCGACCTTGCAGGTGCTCTTTTTGGATGCTTATAACATCTTACAACGTTGCAGGGAATTGCAGGGAACTGGGCTGCCCTCTGAAGATACCTGACAATGGAAGCTCCTTGTGGTAGCAGGTTGCAAGTAACATGAAACCAGGGGTAGGGTCGGTGGGGGATCTTTCATCTTTTTGGTCGAGATCAAAGCCAGGTTCAGCCGAGCGATCAGCTGTTGGCTCGTCTTCACCGCCTTGCCATGGTGACCCGATACAAATATGAACACAGCAGTTGGAGAGAAAGGTTACAGATAAGACATTGAGAAAGTGCTCAAGGCTCAAGACATCTTTTTAATCTTCAATCCTTTCCAAATGCTTCATGTCTTGCTTTGGTAGAACTAGGCCACACCCACAGACTGCCTTTGGTGAGTGTCCAGGATCACAGTCAACGTCCGGTCGCATGTGCTCAGATGGTGACAGGCAAGGCTTCACTGAGAGTCACCAATGTTGTAGCAAAGTCGGAACACGCAGATGTCACACAGATGTCATAAAAAAACCGTCCAGCATGACATGGCACCAGATCAGCTTCGAATCCGCAAAGTTAAAAATGTGTCAGAAGTGTCAGGTTCATCCATCCACCAAAGTGCACCATGTCCTTCAACTTCGTTGCATCCCGGCAGGCCGCCGAAAAGTGGGTCTAATATGATAATATATGATATATATATATATATAATGTGGTTAAGAAAGGTTCAATGAAACATGAAACTTATTGCACTGACTTCACTGAAACTTGTAACTAAGTCAACTGGGAGCCTGGATGTAAATGGTCCAAGACAGCCAACAGAGTTGTTTCGGTACTTTCCAAGTCGCCTTGAAAGAGGTACTGGCACAGAATATTCTTTGGTGCTATGTTGTAATACTGTTGTAATGTTTTGATCATCTTTTATCTCTGCATCATCCCTTCAGTCTCAAAAGCTTGCGTCAGCTCGTCAGCTCATAGTGAAATGATGCTGAACCTGTACACCTGTACTGTGCAATTATCATAAATGATTAGCCACCCACCAGGTGCCACTCTGGAGTCAAGGCGCATGGGTGCTTCCCAAGAATTGTTTGCCTATAAGACTATAAGAAAGATGAAGTGAATGATGCCAGCAGCAATTTCGCGCGTACGAAGCAATTCGTCGCTTTGATTTTGGCTTGGTGGCTTGGGGTGGCGATTCTGCTGAGACATTGTTGACCTATGTTGACCTGCACATTACAGGTGGTTGTCATCACCCTGGCACATCGTGGAGACCGGCGTGTCGATCCATTGGTCGGTGGACCATCAGCTCTCAAAGCGATGCGAGAAGCAGGCGGCTTGGGACGGGTGACGAATTCACTTGGGTTTTAGGATGGCAGTGGCACATGTTGTGACACCTCGGCCTCCTCGTTTGTCATAGCCTCTTTTGATTTTGTATATTTACACCTTAGATGCCTAGTTCAGAAGTGGATGACTAGATGGACTAAATGGACAAACTGGGCAGCGCAATCAGTTTCTCATGCAAGAATAGCTTTGGAGACGGGTGAAGTGGAGGAAGTCAACTTCTGGGCTTGATCAATGGATCAAAACGTTCGCGTCTCCAAACTCGTTGGAATCCAGGCTTTGATGTGGAAGTGTTGAGAGCGTCTTGCTATTGCGAGCGAGATGCTGTGGATCAGGCTGTCGATATTGCTGTTCTGTGGGTGGACTCCAGGATTCATGGCGCAGTCCAGCTTGGTATGGAACAAATTGAACAAATCCCTTACAAATCCCTTTCCTGCTTAATCTGCTTATTCCTTTTCCCATCTTTTTCCATCTTTTCCCTTACTGCACAGTTGACCATCTGGCTTTGTGAAGTCAAGCTTCACGACATCTCCGTTGGCAGTACGGCCGATTGCCCTGTTTCTTCGATCACAAGCACTGGGGTTACTTCCAACGTTATGCCAGGGCCAAAGATGGTTCATTCCCTCTCACACTTCCCTGCCATTTTGAGAAAGTTGAATGCCTTGTGTACCGACTGTATAATACTTTGTAATACTGTGTACATGTTTGATCCTGCTTGTACTTCTTATATCTTCTTATATCTTCTTATTTGGTCTGTTTGTCAATCGTTTTGCGTTCGCGGCCTGCCGAGTGTACTGAGGAAGGGGCCGCCAGAGCCTTGGACTCGGAGGTGCTGGACTCAAACTTCAAATTTACCAATTTACCCAGAATTTACCTCAATTGATTTCGATTTACTTCATAATTTTATATAATTTTCAGTTTGAACCACATCCAGAGCTCATTGAAGCAAGGTGTGCACTTCCTATGAAGCTATGAATTGTCATGACCAGTTGACTTTGGCCAAAATTCGCAGTATCCTGCAAGTCAGTCTGATGGAAAATGACGCCAATTCTGGTCCAGTATAAATATGTGACCATTGCAAAAAGCGCCACTTCACGGTAGGAGGAAGAAGACTTGCTGGAGTATTTGAACGACAACTACGAGTGCGGTCGCACAACTGTGAAAGCTGCTGGAAAGCCACACAATTTGCGACTGAAAGCATGGACAATATGTTCATATTCTGCAGAACACCAGAACTTTGCAATCTGTGTGCATAGCGTAACTGTACACTGTATCCCAAGCTACCGCCCTTTCGCAGCTGTTTGAGAGGCATGGGGCAGAACGCTTGGCTGATCCAGAAGATGGAGATCTGGCAGGCGCAATGCCGCAATATGGACGGAATAGACAAAAGTTATGACTTGTTAATCTTGTTAAGTGACTTATTGGATCTTGTGGCGACAAAAGGCATCACATTTTTATCACAAAAGGACGACCAAATCGCGTGGCGACACGGTCTGCAGGTTATCTACGAGATACCAACTGGCCAGGTGCCACGAGCTGTGCCATGAGTCGAGATGCCAAGCTGCCGAAGCGGCTTTTGAGCGGTTTGTGCTGGTCATCTTTCGCTGGCGTAAAAATGTCAAGGTATTTGCACTGTACCGCTTTCTTACCATGCTTTTTGTAAATCAAGTCAGGAAGTCAGCTCGCGTTTCGGGAGTTCGAACTCACAGTATCGCAAGCTTTGCATTTTGAGACCACTTTACCACTTTAGTCCCCGTTTTAGTCCGTCTCTGTTCTTTCTTCCACCTGGTGCCACCAAGTACCACATTTGAAGTGATCTTCTACAGCCCAGGTCACATCCGGGGCCTCATCAAAGCTGCTTTGGAGGGATATGAGCTGGGTAGCTCAGCACAGTCAAAAAAAATCACTCGAGCGATCCAGCGCCTCTCCTGGGAAGACATTGTATTTTTTGATCTTTATTCTTGTAAAATATTGTAAAATCTTGTAATTTCAAACAGTTCAAACATCCGTTTTGGATCGTTTTGGCGTTTAGGTTTGCCCTGGTCTTTGAAGATGATGCCGTGATCCCTACATCTGTTGCAACAACAAGGCTCGCGTTATGATTTGAGACCCGTAGGATCGGGAGAGATCATTTGGTCCTGGTAGGCAGTGTGCTATTTCCGCCAGCAACCAGACCTTAGTTCTACGATCAAAGTTCTACGTTCAAATAGAAATTCAGAATTCAGATAATTCATGTATAGTCACTATATAGTCAGGTGTATTCAGCTCTTTTCACATCCTCAATGGTTCTGCATGAACTTCCAACTAGTGTGACTTGGGATTCTGTGATTAGATGTGGCAGGGGATGGTGTGAAGCGTGCGAAGGGCAACTTTGCTTTTGTCCCAGTGCCTGGGCATTTTGCGCTTCGATCTCAGCTCTAATTTTTGCCATGGAGCTGAACCATGTTGAGTGGAGTCTGTGGAGTCTGTGGAGTCTGTGGAGCCTGTGGAGTCTGTGGAGAGGGAACACATGATAAGCATATGATAAGCATGTGATGAGCCATAAGCAAGTGGCCACCACTTAGCACCCGAGGTCCAAGAGGCTGTGGATTTGATGAGACGCGCGCCTCAGCTGGTGTCTTGGCTTTCACAGAGGCAGACTTCTCAAACTCAAAGTAGATGCAGCTGACAACATTCCTGGCAATACCTGCCAATATCAATATCTATCCATATCTGCTATATCTGAGATGTTTATTCTGTTGGAACGGGGATGGTGCTCATTCCATGTCATTCCTGTCTTTTCTACAGGTCTTGTTTTGTCGCGTAAAGATCAGTTGAGCGGTGTTGAAAACGACATTGCAAGTATCTTCATCTGAGGATTTGCTCTATTTGGGTGTAGGGGAGGCGTTTGAGCCTCCTGGACCGCACGGGGGGCCATGTACTCAGTCAGGTTGAGAATTGCGAAAGCAACGAGCAAAGGAAGCAGGAAGTGATTTTCTGTATTTTCTGTGAAGTTTAGAGCACTCATCATGATCATCATGAGATATCATGATCATGAAGTTTCTTTTAATCTTTCCATCATGGGTGACGTCCTCGGAGCTCAGGATACTGGCAGAGGAAAGCGATGACGATCTTGGAGGTGAAGTTGGTGACAAAAAGTTTATTGAAAATCAAAAGTCAAACCACAGTCAAATCCATCAGATGCAGAATCCCGGGAGTTCCACGGTGTCCCAATTGTAAAGCTTTTGAAGCAGGTGTCACGGAGATGGGCTACACTTGGTGCGTTTGAAACTTAACCGGAAGAAGTTGCACACGAACAAGTGCGAAAACACACGGGACTTTTGCAGCTAAGAGTTGAAGGAGCAATTTGGATCTTTGTCTTATCCTGAATAGAAACAAAGCTTGTAACCTTGCGGGCAATACAAAACAAGAAAGTACAGTACATCATCGTTCAAGATTACGAAAGAATAAAATTCAGTGGACCACCTGGTCACAGTGCTGAGTCTTCGAGGCTCTTGCCCACAAAACCCAGAAATTGTCCCTGCAGGCGGAGGCAATCCTCTATGCAAGATCTGCCTTGGAGGATCCTAGCAACCTAAGCCTGTTCCCGTTTTCCTGGTGAAATTCCAGAAAGGTGCACAGTCTTATTAGTCTTATTCATTCCATCTTTCCCTACCCATCAACAGATTTATTTTGCATGATCAGAGCTATGTTTGGGCCGCAGAAGGCTGTTGAGCGCAACTGTTCGTTGTTTGAGCTGCAGGATGTCCTTGCCTTGAAATTGCACGAACGCATATGGGCACAGGACCGACCACAGATTGACCAGAAAAAAACCTCACAGCGCGATTCTTTGTGCTCTGGTACTGTAGTCTTTGAGGTGTCCGTAATCCTGCCCGGAGGGCTGAATCATTCCTTTGTGGTGTGGCAAGAAAAGCTTTCCTGTCGCGAGTCGCAAGGACGAAACAATTCCTCACTTGTACAGTCAGAAGCCGTGCTGCTGGCGACGCTTTGGTGGAAGAAGGTTTCTTCCAAGCGAAGTAGACAAAGGAGAAGTTGAAGACAAAACAGAGACGACGATGACTATGATTCTATGATGATGAAGAAGAATAATGATTGATAAAGAGGCAGACAAGAAAGAATAGTATATAATCATATGTAATAATAATAGTAACATTCCAGTAATGCATTGCGTAGTGATGATAATAGTAGTACGAATATTCATGATAATGATAACAACAATGAAGATAATACTAATAATAATATATAAGAAGAAGAAGAAGAAGAAGAAGAAGAAGAAGAATGATAAGGAGACAGACAGTAAGAAAGAAGAAAAAAAGAAGGTGATGGCGATGATTTGGTTCCGTCGAGCAAAACGCATTTTCACTTTGCAAAGAACTCCCACTTCACCACAATGTTTGAAAGGAGGTTGGAACACGAAGTGACACCAGCAGTGTTGCCACAACTTTTGGTCCCAACTACAACCGCTTCTGAAGATCCAAGTTACCAAACACGTGTACAATCGGCGTAATGATTTGTAACGTCAATATTTATTGATATATTTTGATATACAATTCGTCATAATTCCCAGTGAGTCACTTCGAGTAGATTCAACACAGTGGCTGTGCCGAGCCCGGAATCGCCAGGTGGAATCCTCGTTTCATGGAGTCTCTGAAAAGCGTTGGCTTCAAACGGCGTTGGTTGGTCGGGGCCTGAGTGAAGGATGTGAAACTGATACGAAGCCACGAAGCCAACGAAGCCAACGAAGCCCAGTCAAGTCGTTCGTTCCAAAATGAAAATGCAGTCTGCCACAACACATCGCACTGCCAAACGATTGGTTACTCCAGTTATACAGAATGTGTTGGTGATCAGTTGAGTCAGTTGGATTTGAACTTTGAGATCGTTGATACTTTCCTTCTTGGAACACACAACGATCAAGTTCCCTTTTTGCCCGAGAGAACTTTGAGGCTGGAGCGCCTGCAGATGACGTAGAAGAGGGTTGGATCCAGCAGTTGGAGTTCTTCAAGGAGGAGGTCATGTCAAGCCTGCGGTGAATCAGCGAAGAGAGATGTTGGAAAAATCGGACATTGATTTGATTTGAATTGATTTGTCAATATTTGTCATGTTTTTCGATGCTTTTCGTGTTTTTTGGTTTTGCTCAGACGTCATTTGCCCATGGACCATGTCATCGTCGCTTGGGCGTTGCTTTTGACGCAGCCTTGGTGCTTTTCCTTTGCCCGCAGTTGAACAGCACACAGCTAGCCTCCGCGTGGCGCTCGTCCAATTCCTCGGAGCACGGGGTGCCTAGAATCTAGAATCTGGATACGGGTCAAGGTGCAGATTACAATCATAGCCTCCATTCGCACACTTCAATCCTACAAAAAAGTTAAACGTTAGGAGGTGCTGAGTCGTTTGCCAGTACAGTGTGTACATGTATGCGATCATCTTGGTTGTCTCCTGGAACGTGCTGGCAAACCCCGAATGTTTTGCACGGCAGAATGTTTGGAATTTCCCGAACTCAGGCTCTGACGCATGAAACTCCTCTTGGCACTGCTTGGCAGTGCAAAGGGAGAAAAAGGAGACCGGAGTGCCTGGCAAACGGATGTAAAAGAATGTAAATAAGGATATAACAAGACCTGTACAAAAGCAGGGCACAAGTCAAAGATAGTAGCCTGCAGTACTTTCAGAAGTAAACTTTTGCCCGCAATTGTACAGGAACAGGGCTGCAACATTGCTGTGAGTGTTTCTGACCTTTTGAGGACACGTGAATGTTTAGCAAAAAAACTTGACACACACACACACACATCAGAGCTCTTTCTTTTCTTTTTATCTGCGTTTTTGTTTTTATCTCTGTTCTCGTGTTGGTCAAGTTATACGCAAGAGCCTCTGCAAGTCCTTCCAGTATTGGCTTATTCATACGTGTCAAGGTCAGAATATGGGTTAGTTCCCATATTGGTGGATGTCATCAATCGATCAATAGGGAGTACGATAGCCATTATAAGGATTCCCATAATGGGATGGATGACCATTTTCAGGTCTGAATGTTTGAGGTGCCACTGCCTGAATGGCTCAATACAGGGTCTGCAGCAACGTCGTCAAGCAATAGTAGCGCGATCACAGGCTATCAAAGAATGAACACGTCGTCCTGCTGCCACACTGTAGTACCTGGGCTGAGATCAACATCCCTGTCATTGCCACTCCTTGCAGAAGTCAACTTTAATAAAAGCCCAGGCTTGCTTAGAGTGACGTTGTTGATGAGAAGGCGTCCTGCTTTATCTATTGGGGTTTCCAAGATTGGATCGATTTGACAAGACTTGACAAGGATATAAAATTGATGATGTTTCCATGTCTATCCGCCGCACACGACAAGAGCTGCTTGTGAGACTCCCACCGTGTGCTGCTCAGCAATCCTTGGCTTTCTGCAAATCGTGGAACATGGTGTAAGGTGGTGGGTCACTTGGAATGAAGAAAGCAGGAAGTGCTCCTTAATCTAATACTCTGCTGGAGCTCTTCTGTTCACTTGTTACTGTGAGTCGTACTATGAGTTGTACTGTCAGTCCTACTGTGAGCCGCATGGTAAGTCGCACTGTAAGTCTCTCGTGCTGTGAGCCTCTCGTACTGTGAGTCGTGTGCTGTGAGTTGTGTGCTGTGAGCGTCGCATGGTGGGTTGTACTGTTGACCTTTCACAGCTTTTCAATGCCTTTGCTACTTCCGTTTTCAGGGCATGGGTCAGATATGCTCTGTGAGCCTTGGAGAGAAGGTTCAGGTGGGGCGTCAAAGCGAGTGCAGCTCTTCAAGTAATTCTTCAGGTTCAACCTCACATAACCTCAGTACTTTCAACAGTGTTAGATACCCGTGTTAGATACCAGTAGTGCCACTTTAATAATATTCCCAATGCTTTGGTTGCTTCGATTGGCCAGGTTGCTAGTGACACACCTCAAAAACCTGCGCATTCCTCAGTGGTTGGTGAATTTTCTGACAATTCTGACAGCAGAGACGCGTTGATGAGAAATGCGCACGCTGCTGCTATGCACAGATAAAAAACACCATGAGGCTATATATATGATGTATTATATATATATGTATATAATATATATATATATATGTATAATATATATATAGTGCTGTAGGCTCTTCTTCTATCTTATTGTACATATTTCTACACTGAGTGGACAGGGGAAGCTGGCAGAACCAGCCAGAGATTTGCCGCTGACGACTTTTGGATCCCAGGCGCGTCCAAGCGCAGTGCTCCGTCTGAAGCAGCTGCACGAGGTGCGGATCTGGGATGGTCTGTGGCAGAACTTGGTGCTGAGTCTTGGCTCAAGGAACTTGTACAGTAACATATGCAACATGAGGTACATGTATGATCATGCATGATCATATATGATAATGTATGATCATATTGACATATTGTATTATACATTTGACATGCGTATATGAACATATTCACATAAATTAATCATATTTATTTTTTGAAGTTGAACGACCCACCAGACAAAGGCCTGATGCCACAGGGAACACGTCCGACGAACTGCAAAGCAGGCTTGCCGCAACAGCGACCTTGTTTCCATCAAGAAGAGCATCCAGGAGGTGCGAACTATGAGGTTTGAACCTGTTCAAAAAAGTATCAAGGATGGGTAAGGTTTTCATATGTTTTCATCAGAGGAAAGTTCTTCAATGTATTGTGATGCTTAGCCGCTTAGCCTTTGCTCAGGGTGCCTCCATCAATGCCTTTGACGAGTCTGGCTGGACTGCTCTACATTACAGCCCTTGCCCTAGCATTTTTTTCGTCAGCGGGACAATCGTTTCATATCGTTTCTATTGACATGTAGTTACCATATCGTTTCAATGTACTGGCTGTATCTGACAGAGCTAGAGTTCACAGTGTTCCGCCCAGGTGCCTATGCAGGATCTGCTGAGGCTTCCTTTTCCTGTGCAGTAAGGAACAAAAGGGATATCCTTTAGATGGGACCAGGAAGCATTTGGACTCAGGACGACTGACAGTGTTGAAATGTGTCCTGTCAGAGAGATGAAAGGGGAAATAAATGAACTATTGAATCATATTTCATCATAGACTGAAATTTGTTCTATCTTTTGGATTGAATCCTATCCTAAGCAAAGAACCTACAGCAGCTGCCAGAGTGGGTCATTGGGGATGTGTTTAAGCAGACAGGGCTCGGTCAGGCAACGCGTCTTCTGCTGGAAAGTCAAGGGGACTGCAATGCAGTTTGGAGCCAAGTTTCCGCTTCATCATCTGGTGAAAACTTGATGAATAAACGAATAAACAGCCATAAACGATCATGTATGCATGTGGGTTTGGCTGGTAGAAAAGCGTTATCATGCACAGGTGTTGCCGGACCTCTCGACTCCGCTGATGCTTGCTGTTGACGAGGCAGTCCCAGTAGTGCACATTGCACCGCTCCAAATCGTTTTGTCGAGCATCAAGGAAACAAAGATGTCCGAAGCCATGCACAGCCTGACCGGTTTTTAGGTCCCACAAGTAGGAACAACGCGCATCAGGAATAATAGATTGCTGTTGAACCTTGAGTTGTTTCATAAATGTCCGGTAGAAGAATGTGAAGAAAAGCGAATCTGGATCCATATATGATCATATATGGCTTCATCGCTTCTATGTGTGTTTTCCAATTTGCGAGGCCCATCTGTCTGTGGCAAAGTTGCTCCTACAGTATGGCGCCTTGTCCAAGTGCAAGGACGAGGTGCGAGTTGTTCACCGTGCCATTACTAAAGTGGACGAGTGGACGAGGGCTCCAGGACAAATTATTTTATCGCTGTGGCGTGGCCGTGAAATACTGAGACATCCCTTGGCAGTGTCAGGATGGATTTACTGCGTTGGCACGGTGTGATCCGAGTGTAAAGGCACGCATCATAAGCATTCATAGTTTGTTAGCTCCTTGAGACTTGAAGGATGCAAAGTGTGCTGAGCGATGTCGAGAGAGATGATTTATTCTTAGGAATGCAGGTCGTTCACACAAGCAAACGATGATCTGCAATTTAAAATGATATTGCCATGCATTCACGCTACATAATGTTTGGCGTTTTTCAATGGGCCCAAATTTCATGATGCAGGAAGAGTTCAGGATATTGATATCGGGCAGTGGATCCGAGCTCGATGCTTAGTTTCATGGTGACAGACAAAGAGACAACGATGAAGTGAGCCCGAAACACATCGCCGAAACACATCGCTGACATCGCTCTGAGTTAAGACTCGTGTCAGAGGTCTTGATGTTCTGGAGCACCGCCCATAGGAATCTCTGTACATAGAACATAGATGAACTTGCTGGATGGGAATTCCAGCTGTTCCCACCGAAGCTTCCAATGAGAACTTCAGCGTCTGTGCGTCTCTGCTTAATTCCATGCAGAGATGGACCTGTTTGATGTGGGCCACAACAGTTCCCTTTCCACTTTGCCGCCGACACTTGTTTTTCAAATACCAGGTGGCAGGATTTCTATGAATTCTTGACCATCTTGTTTTGAACTTCCCAACAGGATGCCAAGACTTGACGCACTTCATACGTGGATTTTGGTCGCGGTGCTTGGCCACTATCGTATTTGGCAGTTTCTCTGAATAAATCTCACAAGATGCGCAGCAGTTCTGGGCTCAGAGATTCCATTCGCAGAGGCCTGCCATGATGGCAGGCTTCTGAAGGGAGACCAACCACAGAAAGCCATCATGGCTTCCTTTACAGCGGGAAAGAACCATGTCGCCTCTCAGACAACATGGCGACATTTTCTTCACCAATCCTGCTGGGCGCGGAGGGAGCAGGGCAGGACCTGTATCTTTCCTGCAATATTCTGGTTTGTGCCTCCATTGGAAGTATCTTTAAGGCTCATGAATGGTCGACAAGAGGGAGTTTCGGAGTGCTTGTCTGAAGCAGAGTACTACAACACAATGTGCATCCGGGTAATCCGTTTAGGCGACAGGAATTTTGAGATGGATAGAAACGCGGACCAGTGGAGACCTGAAACATAGTTGTAGAGAATGTATCATAGTAAATTTAATAAAACATAACAATGTAAATGTATTACTGTATCAATATTGTGTCAGCATTGGAATTTTGAGCTTATTCGGACGGCGGACTCGGGACCCAGGTACGCACTGTTGGATGTAGACCACTCAGTGGGAGTGGAGGACTTGCGGTTGGCCTACCGCCGGGCCATCCGCCGGGCACATCCAGACAAGGGCGGAAGCTCCGAAGCCTTCCTCGCAGTGGCGCGCGCGTTTGAAACTTCCAACGGACTTAGTCATGTAATGTCATGTAATGTAGCAGTGTACGTACACCATGACCAGTAATATCAGTGATTGGCAGTACATCTGTATGTATAATACTGAATAATATGTAGTGACATGGAATAGAGGCACATGTGTTGTATCTTGACTTGCCTGAAGCCGTCTATGATAGAGAAATCGATAGAGATTTTTTTGGTGTTGCCTTGCGTTTGCCCGGACCTGTCTTCTTTCGTGAAAAGGTCTGACTGACCCTGAACAGTGCAAGGGAGTTGAACTGAGGATGTGCTGTCGAATCCAGCCACGCGGGTCTCCTACGACCAGGAGCTTGCAACAGAGACACTTCAAAAACGGATCGGGAAGCGAAGCCGTGAAAAGAAGCGAGGCCGTGAAGCAGTTCACAGCCAGTCTACGTCTATAGAATGCCGCCTGCAGGACTCAAGACGTTTTCAAAACTGTGTGACACAGTGAAATGAATTGTGCGATATGGTGCGATATTGTGCATAGTATATTTACAATGGGCTCACGTGATTTCTGCTTAGCTTATTAACTTATTAGCTTGATTCTTGACATGTCTTAGATGAATTTCACAGTTTGGAATTGCCTCGGTGCAAAATTGATATCCTGCACAGGAAAAATTGTCGAACCTTCGGGAGGTGTTGCAGTCAATGGATGCCTCGACCCGAAGAACATCCATTTCAAATATGTCTTCGAAAATTCGTGTAGTTTTGATGAAGCACATGGAAGGCTCTGAGGATTCTCCTGCCGATCAAGTAGATCGAAGCAGCAGAAAACTTGGATCCAGTTCAATTCGACTTCGAGCAGTTGCGAAAGGTACCACTGGAGGTACCGCTGGTTGCAAGTACAGTGCCCAAATGGACATCGATTGTCTTCGCACCTACACTCGACAAGTTGCTTTCGACCTGGCCATTGAGCATCAATTGGTCCTCTCAGACTTGCGTGATAAATTGGTGGCAGCCAGCGAGATGAATGCTTCCATTTGGTCCCCACCCTACAAGGTGCCTCTGCAGTTCCATGAATCTTTAGTAACTCATTTTCTTTCCCGTGGTATCCCGTGGTACAAAGATTGACTTTGAACGCTGTGTCAACATCAACTGCCCTAGTGTTGAAGTTTCCAGGTGTGCGACATTTTCCATCAAGTTCTCTTGTCTCACCAAACTTGTGCCAAAGAACTCGGGCTCAGTGTCTTCGTCCAGCTGCGTGCATCTGAATGGGCAGCTTGGCTGAGTCCTGGCACTGTTCACACTGTCTAGTCCCAAGTGGCCCCAAGTGGTCCCAAGTGCCCAAGTGTCACTAAGCAGTGCATTAAGCAAACAAATCCACAGTATAAACAATGTATAAACTATAAACATGTTTTTTTTCATGTATAAACTCAGGTCGCAAATCGACACAGTTTGACCTCGGCCGTTTTAAGCTTTGAAGATGCAGTGGCGCTTCGCTTTCGTCTGATTTCAGCAAGGACGTGGCCAGCACTCAGACAGGTGGGGGGCCTTGGGAAAAGCAATCACGAAGCCTTTGTTGTGAAATGGACCTATGGGAGAACTCGCACAAAACCCTTGCCCCTGCCATCTAAATGTGCAACTGGTGTATTGGTTTTGGATTGATTTCAAGTTTCCAAATGTTTCCATTAAATATAAATCAAAAAATATTATATAATTATATAATATTATATAATTATATAATATTATATAATTATGTTTCCAATATGTTTCCATTCAAAACACCACTCCTACCGGGTACCGTCGGTGCCAGGAGTGGCTCCAATTGCTTCAAAGTGGTCGCCACAAATTGGAGGAAACTTCTGCTGTGGCACTGGTCGATGCTGCTCGGATGGACTTCTTACAGCGGAAGTTCCAGACCGTTGTCAAGCAGGCTGGGGCCAGCTGGGGCCAGCTGGGGCCTGGTGATGCAATCGACTTGGAACCTTGAAACCGCATGAAACCGCATGAAACTTCAACGCTTCGGCACACACGACAAAAAAAACACAAATTCCTCCAGAGCTAGCAGTGAGCGGTGCGCAGACAAGAGCTGTCTCTTTTCTTGCGTCAAGATGTTCGTTTTTTAGTGTTCATATGTGTTCATGTTATGAATTGGTGTTTCCGATGCATGGGGCCAGGTTAAGTCTGTGTGGTGAACTTATTAAGTCTAGGTGAACTTTGGAGACACAGATAGACTGTTCAGGTGGAGGAGATGCTTGAGACAGACAAAACGGCTGAGCCAACGAGGAACACGCACACCGTCTCCGAGGCAATAGAACCGGGCTTGGTGATTTTGATTCATATGATACATATGATACATATCTATACAATTCTATACATATGTATTCAATTGTATTCAATTGTATTCATAGTATGTATGTAACTTATATACATGCACAAACATGCACATGCATACGTATGTGATTCAATTGTATGATATTGTATATGCACTTACAGAAGATCATATGAATTTGTATACATGTGTAGACTCAATTCTGATACAGACATGATATGAGTTTATTTGTGCATACAAATATACTGTACATATTCTTTAAGATCCAATTGACAGCGAGGTGTTTGACAAGAGTTTGGGTGGAGCCTCCATTGAAGGCCTTGGATGTAATGTTCTTCTCTTTCTGCAAGGTTTGTCGCTTTTGCCCATTTGCACATTTGAGACATTTATGGGAGTGCTAGTACAGTAAATGATTAATTGTCATGTAGTCGTATTACTTTGACTCTTTTGATGCTGTCTTCTCCTTTGAAGGTTGTTCATATTCATCTGAGTGCGGAAATTTTGAAGAGGCATACCGCTGTCCAAGAGCGAAAGCGAGAATCACTTGCAGCAAACAGCGAAGAACATTGCGAGCTAAGATAGGGTGACCTCAAAGAGTGCTTTGCTGCAGGTGAAGGTAGTTCTGTGTGACTCGATTGAATGAGGTGTGGAGAGTTCTACACGGTTTGGAAGCAGCCATGTGATATTGGCACTTCCTCAGGTGGTGATCATCTAAGTCATTCTGAGATTGCTCGATCGAGTCTTGTGAATGCAAGTGCAGAAAGCATTCAGTTCTGAGTCTACAGCCCAGAATGAATCAAAGAAAATCACTGGAGCTGAGTTCAGAAATCCCTACTGGACACATAACTCTGGACTCAGTGGTTGGAGTAGCCAATGTCTGCACGAGAAGTCTACGGTGCACTGAACATGTCATACACCACTGCTTTCCCTTTGTCAGTGCCATCTCAAATTAAGATTCAGACCAAGCTACAGCTGCTCAAAGATATTTCTTCCCAATGGACAACTCTGGCTCAAATAGAACATTGAAAAAGCATGAAACAGTGGCAGTTACAGATTTACGTTCAATTCATGTTCATTTCATTGCATTTCCGCGCCTTGCAAATGTGAAAAAACCTTGCCACTCTCTGAAGAACCACTCGGTTGAAAGGCACAGGGCAGCTGCCGGATGGCCAAAGCGCTTCAGCAGTTTCCATGGTGCAAATTGAGCTGCAGATCTACGTGCCAGGCACTGCACTGAACTTTACTTCACGCATTGTCCATTTCGAGCAAAGTGTTTGGGAAGACACAATGAATTTCTTTCATGCCCATTTGCTGATGTTGCTCTGCAAAGCATCTTTGCTGACAACTGGAAAATTTTGTCAATCCAACCACCTCCGATTTCTGTTTTCAGATATTTGATATCGAAAGCTACGCTGCAGCTTTCATTAGAGAATCTCTAATGATATGTGCAGTGGGACTTCAGAAGATTGCCGACTTTCCAACGTCTCTTTTCGGTATTGCAGGTGTAGCTGCTGTGGATGTCTCAATAGATGACAAAGAGGCCATGATGCAACTGATGCAAGGGAGAAACTGGAGCATGGATTGCCAAAACAGTGAGGCTGCTTGATGCACTGCTACTGCTGTTTTGACGAGTGCGAAAGGTATTAAAGTGTATCAAAACTATCAATTCTGTTCTGACGACCGGTGAAGGGCTTTGATGTGTGGGGTCTCGCTTGCAGTTTGCAAAGCCCACGCAGATCCAGTGAGTGCTGCCGATATGTGGTGGGAGGATTATTCTGCCTTGCAGCTTATTTTTTGGATCTGTATCAGGATGTGTTGGACTTGCTCCGTGTCGCGAACACTGCGCTGCGGGGCAGAGTCAAAGACAAAGTGTCCGGCGACCCTGTCGTTTCCAAGTCATGATGGTGAGGAATGAAGAATCAAAATAATAGGATTCAGGAACTGCTTGAAAGAAGAAAACGTGAGCCATCAATTGTAGAATACTGTAGATTCGGAGATATGATTTTGATATGATGATATATGATTAATATTTGATATTTCTATGGTCGAATCATATTGAATCTATAATGATTATGAAATATTATAATGAACAAAATCTCAGTTGCCGAGTTGATACGAGTTGCTTCATCTTCCCAGCGTTCCCAGCGTTCCCAGCGTTCCCAGTGTTCCCAGGGTGCAGCTGATCCCTCCACGGGCAGCTCGGCCACTGCGCCCCGGGCTGCCGTTGCGGCGCTGTGGGCTGCGCTGTGGAGACGTTCTCACAGCTCCACGCAGAGCTGTCCCGGAGAAAAACGACACGAAACGGAGATGGGCACAGCATGGCACAGCCAAGGTCATCAGGATCCAAGATATCTAAGGCATAGACAAAATCTGTTGATGATCTATTGACAGCCATGGTTGATAGCTTTCGGTGACCACATTTGCTGACAATGTTGACAGAAACTTGAAACGATATGAACGAACTAAAGCTTGGCTAACCACACTCGCAACGACATGTTTGTATGCCACTTATGCCTAGAGAAGGACGTGCATATGCCTAGAGAAGGACGTGCAGATACTGCATATTTGGCATAGTTGCAATCTTCCGTTCAACATTCAACGTTGATCCTTTTTTCCACACTTTTTTCACATGTATACGTTTTGCTCTACTTTCAGCAACATAAAAAGAATCGGACCGCTTAGCAGGAGGTGGTAGTCACGGAGAAGACCTTTGCGGCCATCACTCCATCGGGAGGAGTCATTGCATGGGGCGAACCTGAAGTCCCAGGCGGGTGCACAGGTGATATCACGGTGATACCACGGTGATATCTTGTCATTCACGAAACGTGATGAAACTGATGAAACTGTGTTCTTTTGAAGCATGTTTTGTAGCGCAAAAGGCTCCTCTCTGAGTTTCCACGTTTCGGTGCTTCCATACAAGTTGGGATGTTCAAATGCAGGCAGTAGCACATCTTCTGTGGCTGAACAGTTGCAGAGTCTGGGACTGCAAAGAGGATATGCCAAGCAATTTAGAATCAAACCTCTACGGCCATGGACGTTGAAGCATTGGATTTGGAGCAGACTCAAGTGACAGCACCAAAGCACTCCATCTGTGCTAAAGCTGCTACACTTTCCAAGGAACGTGATTGAAATCACACCCAGTGATTCATCCTTCGCAGCTTTAAAGGTGGCGCGGTGCAGACCATGTTGGGTTCAATGACTTGAAGAGACATGGCAAGTCTTGTGCCAAAATAGAATTAGCATGAATTAGCAAATTACCTCACTTGTTTCAACTGTTCTTGTACTGCAAATATTCATTTAGTTGAGGCTAGAACTTTTTGAACTTTGCGGATTTTGCTTGTGGCCTCTGCTTGGCACCATCGCCATCCTGCCTACGATCCAGTGGAACATCGTAGCTCCACCTGACGGCAGGAGGATGGCTCAGTGATTTGCTGGGGAGCGAATGAAACCTTTGAACCGAACTTGAAGCAGGTGCAGAAGGGTTCAAGGGGCGGTCAAACGTTGCTCTTCCCGAATGGATATACTTTGCATTGCAGGTTCTCAAAGTAGTGTGGACGCAGAAGATTCTGGATACCTCATTAAGCCTCCGCAGATGCCGGCTGATCGTTCATTATTTGAATACCTGTCCAGTGAAAACGGATGCCATTTGTTGTGTCATACAAATGCTGCTTTCATTCATGCATATTCATTCTACATTGTCAGAAACTATTGGAAATTGTTACATTATTTGAATGCATGCGATCTCTTAAAACTGACAGAGTTTTTGCACAAGCTTGCCTGTGCTGTGCATCCTGTGCCAAGTTGAGGTGCTCCGTGTCTTTGCCGCGTCCGAAGCTTTTGCTGCGCTTTGCTGCGATGGCTCTGTCTACTGCTGGGGGGACCCTCATCGCGGTGGTGACATGAGAGGGCAGGCGCAGAAAACACAACAAACGTCATGACATGTCATGCCTATGTCATGCAGGACGCATGAGGGAGAGGACTACTGAGGACTACTGAGGACTACTGTTTGAGATTGGATTGAGATTGGAATGTCCCCGTTCACATTCGCGCACAGCTGACAACAAATTAAATGAGACCCAATAATTTTACTTGATTTCTGTGTTTCCCGAAAACTCTGAACCATTTGGAGTTGCTGTGGCAGGCAGAACAGTTGCAGTCTGAAGTTGAGTGCCTGGCTTTGTTTGAAAGCTATTGGAACCAACTAGATACATCATCATGGACATCGGTGGCTGCAAAAGGTTGTGCTATGTTGTGCTTGGAAATAGAGATCTGACTTGGCTGGTATGTGCAGCCAAACTTGTCATAGAATGTCATAGACGCATATTGTCACTGCATGAGGCCGAAAGAGGTTGAGAATAAATGTGCAAATATGAAAGAATGGCTATGACATTTTATTGCACGATGTAGATTTCTTATTGTTTCTTTGGGCATGTGAAGATTCTGTTTTTCTCTGCAGCTTGGCAACAGCAAAGGCACATTTTCGCCACCGGTTCTGCCTTCTGTGCACTGAAAGCTTCTACTCCTTCGGGCCGCGGTGCTGTGGTTGCTTGGGGTGATGTCCTCCAGGGGGGCCGAACACCGCAAGGGCCACTCGGTCACACCGGAGATGTGTCAACAATGTGCCAACATTGCAAGCAGAACCAGACTGGCACAGTCAACTGACAGATGTGCATCACCACTTGAGAGGGGTCGGAGATGTGAAACGACACAAAACTGGTATCAAGCTGACACGTAGGGCGTACTATCCATCTCATCTATGATTTATGATGTTTTCCCTGACGTGAGGCTCTGTGTTTTTATGTTCTGGTATCTTCCGGTCGTGCCATTTATGTCTTTTCTGTTGCATGACAGTTTAGATTCAGACCAGCTGAGGCTCGAAGGGGTAAGACATGTCTACTCAACCAGAGGAGGAGCCTTTGCAGCTGTCAAGGAGGACCATTTCGACCGTCTTTTTCCTTTGTAGCAGGCATTGGGCAGCTTATTCAACAAATTGAACATGTTTTGTCAACAAGTGTGGGATTTGCCAGAATCTGATCGTTTTTTTTCCTGTTTACATATATTTTCAAAATGTGGTGTCATGTGGTGTCGAAGGTTTGCCAAACAACTTCTAAAATCTTTGGAGCGTCTCTACATATGTTGAAATTCAGTGAATATTGGCAGGATGGCGAGGTGGTGACATGGGGTTCCAGTGTGGATGGTGGCGACAGCAGCCGGGTGCACGAGCTGTTGAAGAGTCGAGGTATCAGGCACGGAAGCATGAAAGCAATCTGAATGTAATATGTGAAGTACGAAAGACTGTAGATTTTTGTAGTACACAAGTGTAAGGCGCGAAATGTGGTGTCAGATATTCTATGTTTTGCATCGTTTTGCTGCCGGGCTTCCACGAAAGCGTAGGCTTGGGTGACATCAAAATGCCGTGCACCAGTTTCAACTCTGATTGGATTTGCAGGGACATTTACTCCACCGATTCAGCCTTTGCGGCAATCACATTTGATGGCACCTTGCCTCTAGAATGCTGTACTAGGGACCTTGCCTTTCTTCAATGCCTAGAGTGCTTCGTCAAGCACTTCCTATCAAGCGTTTCACGACTTCCACAGCATTTCAATGATCCTGCCGAGTATGGATACCCTTTGACAATGCATTCCATGTTTTTTTTGCCGGTCTCCAGCTTTTTGCATTTCAAACGACTAAAATGTTGATGATGTGTATGATGATGGTGTTTTTCAATGATTTTGACGCGTTTGTTTTCCATTGCTTTTCTGCTTCGGTGTCTTTTTGCCTCGGAATCTGAGGTGGCCTTGTCTCCTGGGGCAACGCCCGATTCGGTGGGGTTAGTCCCGGGACCGACGATGTGGCCAGACGAGGACATGTGGGGAATTGCAAAACTGTACATGTTTTGTAGTTGTTTTGTAATGTTTCGTCATGCCACACGTCTTCCTTTATTAGCAACACATAGTGACATAGTGATGATTGATGATGATTATGTGCGAACCCGTAGCCATTTGTTCATTGAATCAGAGACACGCACACACCTTTCTTCCACGTGTGTATGCAAGAGATTGCAAGAGGGTCAGACAAATATTCCATGGTGCTGGAAGCGCCAGAAGTGCTGCAGTGAGCCAATCACAGCCAGTCCAGGTGGCGTGGTCCAGTTGTGTAGTTCTTCCTGCGCCTTTGCAGCGCGTTGTGCAGACGGTTTGAATCTGAGAATCATCGTGTGACTGCACTTGTTTCGAAGGCAAAGAAGACACCCCGATTAAGCCAGTTGTGCGGAGTCTTTGCACGTCTTTGTAGTTTGTAAATCTGTTACACAGCTTTCTTCTCAGCATTTTTCCCAGTTGCGGAGCACATTCCGCACATTATGGCAGTGCGTGCTCTCGACATTTACCAAACTGCACGGAGGTTCAGTCCTCTGCTGGGGCATTGCAGAATGGGGTGGTGATTGTCGAGCCATCACTGAAGATCTCAAAGAGGTCGTGAGTTGGGAAGCAATGGGAAGCAATGGGGAGCAATGGGAAGCAATGGGAAAGGATCAGCAGGAACAGCAAAGCTCTTACTCGATTGCTGACACTTTACCTTTCAAACAAAGCAACTTCAGATGGCATTCTCGAAGCAGGCAAAGCATGATGGGACAGCAACAAAGATGTCTTTCTCTTGCAAAGAACCGATGAAACATGATTTTCCTTTCCCAACCCTACAGCCTCAAGAGTAGTCACGATAGGCTGTTTTTGAAGCACCGCGTTTCCTGACGAAACTCCGTATGCAAGTTGCGGAAGTTGCAGAAGTTGGTAGGTTCGCTGCCTCTATTCTTCGCGGCAAGCCTTCGCCGCACGCCGGGTGGACGGCGCCCTCTTTTGCTGGGGCGATGCTGGCTCCGGGGGCGATACCGAGGAGGCCGGGGAATTCTGTCAAAACAATGGTTTCTTCAGAGAAAAAGCTGAACAAATCAGATAAAAACAGGGTTGAAGAATGTTAAAGAGATTGAAATGGCACTGAGTGAACGTAGTTCGATTTTGCACTTCAATGCAAAGCCACTGCTCCCTGCAGGTTGAGTCACAGCTGATGTGTGACATAGCTCACGTGCCTTGTTCTATTCTGCTTGTACTCAAGCTAAGTTGTACTGTGCCTCAGTGGCAGCAGCTGGACTGTCACTCCCAACATTCTGGCACTTGTGCGGCTGGCGCAAAGTGATGCACATGAGGAAACCAATGCTATAAATATGTTACATAATATATATATTATTAATATATAATATAAAAAATATATTATAATATATATATATATAATATAATATATATTATATAAGATATGATATATATTATATGATATATAATATATTATAATGTATAATATATAATATATAATATATAATATATAATATATTATATATAATATAATCTATTAATGTAAAATATATGAATATAAATATATATATATAATATAATATATGATATATAATATATAATAGATAATATGTAATATATAATATATAATATATAATATATAATATGTCATATATAATATATAATATATAATATATAATATATAATATATACATATATAATATATACATATATGATATATATAATATATGATATATCATATGTAATATATATATAATATAATATATGGTATATAATATAATATTTAATATAATATAATATAATATAATAAAATATAATATAATATAATATAGTATAATATAATATAATATGATATAATATAATATATATAATATTTAAAAAATATAATATTGAATATATAATATATAATATATACTATATAATATATAATATATAATATACAATATATAGTATATACTATATAATATATACTATATAATATATGATATATAATATATAATATATGATATATAATATATATAATATATAATATAATATATTATATATAATATATAGTATATACTATATAATACAAAATGTAATATAATATAATATAATATAAAATAATATAATATATAATAGAAACTATAATATAAATGCTTTATAATTAATTGCAAAGACTGCAGATGGTGCTTTGTTGAAAAACACAAATCTCTTTGACTCTCGTTTCAGTAGGAAAGAATCATACTGTACTTTTCCTTGATCCTATCGCTGTGCTGCGTCAGTCTGAGGTCTACTCCTCTGGAAACGCTTTTGCTGCGATATCACTAGACGGCCAGCTGGTCCTGTGGGGAAATCCCAAGCAGACACGGTTGGAAGCAATCGAGTCTTTGAATTTCGGCACAGAAGGAGTTCGGGCTGGGCCACAGAGGTCAAGTCTTGCACGGATCAATGGGAGGGGAGGAACTTCAGAATAACAGCCAGCCAGCTTTTTGATCTTTTTGAAGTACCAGGAAAACTAGCTGCGGCTAGCTTGTTCCGAATGAGATGTTGAATATGGCGCACACAAGCCCCTTGGGATCAGTCATCGGGCATGACTTGATCCTGTTTCATTTCAAACCATGTGTCCGTCCAGTGACCGGGTGCACCCCTGTTTTGGCCGACGAACTATCACAATCGCCTCTTTGTTTCGGTATTTGAGCTGAGGCATGGCAAAATTCTGCACATCTACGCGACGAACAATTCTTTTACTGCCTTTACCGCTGATGGCACAGGCACGGGCTTTGTACACAGTTTGTAGTGAAATTAGCTACTCTGTTATCCATTTGTCTCTTCCCCCCGCTGTCTCTCTCTCTCTCTTTTTTCTCTTTCCATCCATTTGTCTCTCTTTGTTTATCTTAGTATCAGTTTGTTGGTTCTTTCTGTGTTTGTGTTTGGCAAAGTTTAAAGAAACCTCAGGAACTGCCCTAGATGCCTCCAACAGATTGTCTGAGCCCCTTTGTTCTGTGGAGACATTTTATTGGTGCTGGCAATCTTGATGGCTGTGTGAGAGTAGACATGGATGTCATCACAGATTTTGTGCACGTAAAATAGGGGCATCCCCATCAATGTGTGTTTGATTGCATGTTTTGTGTCGCGAGGTGTAGCATGGGGTGCCGTAAATGAAACAATTTCAATGTTTTCGGAAAAAATGCAACATTTCTACGAACAATATATGATACAATACGATACGATACGATAGTATACTATAATTTACTATGATATATTATGATATAATTATTGATATGATATATTATAATACACTACGAATCCATCTACATTCATCGATAGATAGCAGACCAACCAAATTGTTCGTTACAAAGCTTCGCAATAAATTGTAGATATGACTAAATTCTCAGATACATGGCGAAAGCAAAAATTGAAGTGATTCGGGCATATTTTGAGAGCAGAACATGCGGATCGACTTCGGCAAGTACTCTTTGACTATAGAACGTATTCTCCCCGAACATTCCCAACAAAAAGGGTAGGACGGTAGGACGACCAAACATGGATTGGCTAACAGAAACTTTGAAAGATGCCCGGTTGGATAGTGCTGCCTGGTTTCAGTCACAACAATTTACATTATCTAGTTGAGGCTGCTATCTCCGAATCGAAACTTTCAATCGTTAAACATCCTGGCCATCAGCCCCCGGGCTTACTGAGTAAATACAAAGAAATCACGACCTCCCAGTGTTTCTTATCGCTTTGGTCACGCTGCGCATCTTCGTTGGCGTTTAACAAATGCTATAATATACTTAATAGAATATGATGAAAATAAACGGATTTGAAAATTGAATTAACATATACAGACTTGATGTAGTGATTATTTCTATGGTACCTATGATGTATTTAAATTTACATATTTAAGGGCTGCCGCCCCTGCCGCCGACCCCGGAAGAAGTGGCAACGAATCAAAGCAAATGGGCATAAATATTCTTCGGTGCTTCGCACTTTCAGGTCTTCCCCCTTTATCCTACGAATATTTTTGTGAAATATATTTGATAGGTTTGAATGAAATATAGTTTATCAAATAGTTTGCTCTATATCCTAATATTTTTTTTGCCAGGGGGGCAGGGCAATACTTGAAATACAACTCGACAGGTTGATCAGGATGACAGCTTTCATATTTATATATATATATCTCTCTCTCTATTATTTTTGGCCCTATTATTATACAGATAGTGTTGCGCCGCACAGGTGCATGGTTGCGCCGCACAGGTGCATGATATTTTATCAAAGTATACGGGGCCCTTGTTTTTTAGATCCCCCACTTTGTTTTTTAAACCCCTGACCTCTTTCTGCTGTTCTGCCGTTTTGCTTTTGTGCTTCTTTGTTTGTTTGTTTGTGTTTCTGCTTTTCAGCCTTTTGCTTTTGTTGCTTCTTTGCTTGTATACTTCCCTGCTTCTCTGCTTCTCTGCTTTTGTGCCTTTTGCGTTGCTTGCTTTTTGCTTTTCCTGCTTCTTTGTTCTTCATGCTTCTCTGCTTGACCTGCTTCTTTTCTTTTCTGCTTCTTTGCTTTTCTGCTTATGCCTTTCTACTTCTACTAGTACTATTCCACCTTTTCTTTTCATCAGTCATGCGTTTTTGCAGTTCTACTTTTTGTATCCGCATTGCAAATTGATAAAATTATTATATACAGGAATGATTGCAAACTGATAAAACGATGATGCACAGGAATAATTGCAAATTGAGAAAACTATGATACACAGGAATCATTAGATGTACAGGAACAATTGCAAATTGATAAAATTATGATGCACAGGAATGATTGCAAATTGATAATTGATAAAACCTTGATGCACATAGTGTAAATCCTAACGCACCAACATTCATTTTGTTACACATTCAACAAGAAAGAAGGTACTCAAAAAGTCGACTTTTTAGGGACCTCCAATTCAGGTTATGACATGAGGTTGTCACCGCAGCAACAAACAGCCTCGTTGAAAGTATAGAAATTACAAAAAAGAAGCAAAATTATCAAATGGGAACCCCCCCCCCCGGGGGGGGGGTTCCCATTTGCAAGTTTTTGGAAAGAGGTTCCCAGTGACAAGCTTGGATTGGCAGGAGCCACTGGTACTCTGATCAATCACCACATCCAAATAGTGACTATACATCTGTAAATATGTAGATGTATATATGTATGTAGAGACCATTATACGGTCAGTCCTTGTATGAAAAGAGATTGATGACACAATATAGGCAATTCACCCGAAAAAAATGAAGGACTGCAAATTGATAAGGTTATGATGCACAGGAATTATTGCAAATTGATAAAACGATGATGCACCGGAATGATTGCAATTTGATAAAATGATAATACACCGGAAGGACTGCAAATTGATCAAACGATGATGCACAGGAACGATTGCAAACTGATAAAATTATGGTGCACAGGAATGATTGCAAATTGATAAAACTACGATGCACAGGAATCATTGCACATTGATAAAATTATGATACACAGGAATGATTGCAAATGGATAAAACTATGATACACAGGAATAATTGCAAATTGATAAAACTATGATGCACAGGAATGATTGCAAATTGACAATTGATAAAACCTTGATGCACATAGTGTAAATCCTAACGCACCAACATTCATTTTGTTACACATTCAAGAAGAAAGAAGCATGAGATTGTCACCTAAAATCAGATGAAATTTCAAACGAAAGAAGATACTCAAAAAATCGACTTTTTAGGGACCTCCAATTCAGGTTATGACATGAGGTTGTCACCGCAGCAACAAACAGCCTCGTTGAAAGTATAGAAATTACAAAAAAGAAGCAAAATTATCGAATGCCCGGGGGGGGGAGGTTCCCATTTGCAAGTTTTTGCGAAGAGGTTCCCAGTGACAAGCTTGGATTGGCAGGAGCCACTGGTACTCTGATCAATCACCACATCCAAATAGTGACTATACATCTGTAAATATGTAGATGTATATATGTATGTAGAGACCATTATACGGTCAGTCCTTGTATGAAAAGAGATTGATGACACAATATAGGCAATTCACCCGAAAAAAATGAAGGACTGCAAATTGATAAGGTTATGATGCACAGGAATTATTGCAAATTGATAAAACGATGATGCACCGAAATGATTGCAATTTGATAAAATGATAATACACCGGAAGGACTGCAAATTGATCAAACGATGATGCACAGGAACGATTGCAAACTGATAAAATTATGGTGCACAGGAATGATTGCAAATTGATAAAAGTATGATGCACAGGAGTGATTGCAAATTGATCAAACGATGATGCACAGGAATGATTGCAAATTGATGCAACTACGATGTACAGGAATTTGATAAAATTATTATGTACAGGAATGATTGCAATTCGATGAAACTATGATGCACAGGATTTTTTGTAACCCGATGAAACTATGATGTACAGGAATGATTGCAAATTGATAAAACCATGATGCAAAGGAACAATTACAAATTAATAAAACTATGATATACAGGAATGATGGCAAATTGATAAAACTATGATGCACAGGAATGATTACAAACCGATAAAACTATGATACACAGCAATCATTGCAAACTGATAAAACGATGATACACAGGAATGATTGCAAATTGATGCAACGACGATACACAGAAATGATTGCAAATTGATAAAATTACGATCCACAGGCATGATTGCAAATTGATAACAAATTGATAAAACTATGATGGATAGGACTCATTGCAAATGGATAAAATAATGATGCACGGGAATGATTGCACATTGATAAAACTATGAGGCACAGGAATGATTGCAGACTGCAAATTGAAAAAAATATGATACGCAGAAATTATGGCAAAGTAATAAAACGATGATACACAGGAATATCGGAATACCCATAAATGAAACGCGAAATGAAACACTAAAGAAACCTTAAATAAAAACCTAAGAAACCCGAAAAAGACCTTAAACCGTAAAGAAACCCTAAATGAAACCTGAAATGAAACCCTAAAGAGACCGTAAATGAAACCTTAACTGAAAGCCGAAAAAAAATCGCATGAACGTTTGAAAACTCTCATGACAGTTCGCGATAAGAAGTCTTACATAAGACTCTAAATTAAATCTTAAATGAAACTTTAACGAATCCCTAAATGAAACCCTACATGAAACCCTACAGAAACTCTAAACGAAACTCAAAAAACATGTAAATCCTAAAGAAATCTAGAATGAAACTCGAAAGAATCCCGAAATCAAATCCTAAAGAATTCCCAAATGAAACCCTAAATTTTTGGCTTTATTCTCTCCTGTGTGTATCCTAAGCAAAACCTTAAAGACCCTAGGTGAAAGCCAAAGAAACCCTAAAGAATTCCTGAAAAGAACTCCTGATAAGAAACCCCTACATGAAACACTGGTTTGCGCCGCACAGGTGCAATGCAATGTAATGCAATGCGATGCAATGTAATGCAATTGAATGTAATGCAATGCAATGAAATGCAATGCAACGTAATGCAATGCATTGCGATGCAATGTAAGGCAATGAATGCAATGCGATGCAATGTAATGCAATGTAATGCCATGCAATGCAATGTAATGCAATGCAATGTACTGCAATGCAATGCAATGTAATGCAATGCAATGCAATGCAAGGTGCCATGTTGTCCGTCCTATGCAATGGGGATTGTTGGTGTCCAAAAAGGATATGGGAAAACTACCTGGGCTTATATATATATATATATACAGGTAGGCAGGTAGCTGGGAACGGGACAACCCAAGAACCCGAACAAACAACAATAAAGCGGAGGGGACGCCAGAACCCCAGGACAAGACAGAAGAACGCGGAGGGGACGCAAGAACCCCCAGATTAAGCAAGAGAGAGAGAGAGAGGATCTAAACGGGAAACCACAACCAGTCTTCCCGAGGTCATTTTGTGTAAGACCCCACGGCTTCCGTGGGAAATGGCCTGTATGAGAGAAACATTTGTTTTTAGCCCTGCATTGCAAGAACAAGAAAAACAAACAGAATTTGGGAGCATAATTGCAAATTGATAAAACTATGATGCACAGGAATGATTGCAAATTGATAATTGATAAAACCTTGATGCACATAGTGTAAATCCTAACGCACCAACATTCATTTTGTTACACATTCAAGAAGAAAGAAGCATGAGATTGTCACCTAAAATCAGATGAAATTTCAAACGAAAGAAGATACTCAAAAAATCGACTTTTTAGGGACCTCCAATT